TTTGCTTGTTTGTTTTTAACTTTAATGTATAACAATTCTACTTCATTTTTTAAAATAACTATTTTAATACAAAAACAATGGAAATGTTTTAATTATAGAATCCACCTTTCTATATACTTTATAGAAAATATAGTATTATTTGGGGCATTTTAAATACATTCTTCAGGGGAAAAAAATGATCATTTTAAAAAATGCATCTTAAAAATGTCCATAGATTTTTTATTTTTATTTTTTAAAGAAATCCAGGTGGGGAGAGCAAGCATGGGAAATCTTTAAATACAAAATATTTCAGCCAGTTCTAATTGCAATATTTGTATCTTTGCTTTTCCAGCAAAGTACAGAACAACCTGGAGCTGTTATGTAAAAAATACATTCTGTTAAAGAAGTAAATGCAATATATATTCTGTATATGTATACCTTTATGAACATATACAGAAATATATATTGGAAGGGCCCCATTTACCTTCCTTTCTGATGATGGGCTGGACGTTGCTTTCAATTATGTTAATTTCTGAAATTATAGAAAATGGAATATAAAACATCCCATTCCTACATTTTCTTTATGGTAATGATTGGTTAAATTAGGTCTGGTCATCAAGATGTAAATAAAGTCACAGATATTAATGGAAGGCAAAGTAAAACAAAAGGTGCTAGAGTATGAGTCTCAGTTCTGTTTCCTAAATGGTGCTGTACACACGAGTTACCTGCACAGTCTACTAATGTGCTATTTTCCTTTGTTTGTACTTCATGAAACACAGAGTTAATGAAATCCATGATAATGTAAGATACATAATAATAATGGCTTGTACAATTCCCTGCATGAAAATCTGTATAATTCCCTGTTGTATCTTAAACTTGAATTCTAAAGTTCTAAAACTTCTGAAACTAAACTTCTGTTTGTTTCATTGGGGAGTGCACCTGGTAAACAGAGGGCTTTTACTCCTTACAGAGGAAATGGCTGAAGCAACTGTCTCCCTTAGAAAACCCATATATGCATATATAGAAAACAGGTGGAAAAGGTACACTTTGCTCCTCTGGAAACATTTATGAAAAAGAAAGCAACTCAATGCATAGTTTGGTCAATCCTGGAGAGTCTGTGAGGCAGTACGACTGCTGTGCACCAAGCACTGAACCTTGGCTAAAAAATGAAAAAAAAAGTATTTCCCATACGTATCTTGCCTATCCCAAAGAGTAGAAATGGCTTACTTTAGGGATATTCCCTGTTGAGAATCTGGAAAGGGAAAAAATACATACAGTAGCACAATAACCAAAAACATTCTTCTTTGATTCTTTTCCTGTCATTCCTTTGCCCACTTTACTTCACCATAAATTGCTTTCTTTGTGATTAATAAAGATCTACAATTCAGATTGGAATTGACAGCATTTATAAATCATAAATCTCTTAAACCCATCTGGAAATATATAAAATGAACTTACTGTAAAATGTCAGTGGAATCTCTTTGAAGGTGCTGTCACGAACAAACTACAAATACAAAAAAGTAATTTCAAAATTTGAAAGAGCACTTGTGTTCTAATTTTCTAATGATTGTGCATAGAATTCACTGCTTCACTGATCTACAAGTTAGGTTATGCTATTACACTAGGTTCTTTCATTCATGTTTGAAAGATAATGTAAGCTCAAAAGGGTATGTAAATGAAATAGACAAGGATGCTTCTTTTTTAATCCATAGTCATTGAAGCTGATGGGTTAAATTGCATAGTAATTGAGCTAGTTTATATTTCCCTCAAAAAGGGATTGCCTCAAGTGAAGCAAAGAGTGGATTTAGGCCAGTTCACACTGGAGTTGCCCATATGCAAATGTTCTACAATTATGTGGTGCTGAAAAATTTAAGTCCTAACTGTTGAGTTGAGTGTATCATCCAAATTACACTTGGGTAACTGGGAGCTACTAGATGTGTTGCTTGCTGAAGAAACAGAGAGCCAGAGAACCATTTTTGAATAATGTACAAGGTTTCATAGAACTTGCCAAAAGGACAATGGGAACATCATTTAAAAAGTACCTTGATTTGTATGTACTTGATCAACTTCTTCAGGATTGTGAGCAATTGATCATTTCCAACAGGCAGGTCTAAGAAAAGAAACAGGTACGTAAGATGAAACAAACATCTCTATTCACTTTACTTTCACTTACAGTGCTAATGCAATGTAAAACAATCTCATAAATTCACACTCGTGTATGTGTACATATATGAGTGTTATGTATACATATACATTCTTCTGTATTGAGGGAAAGATAGCCCAAAGCATCTTGTCTTCCATATATTTGACTTTCACATAATTTCCAATAGTTGCCATGGTTTCAGGCATGGCATAAAATGAGCAGTGATGTAAATTTTTTGTTTCCTATTTCACATAGGAATTGTCTCTTTAAAGTAAATATCCTTTTAAAGTTCTTGCACCTACATAACATGTAGACAAATTCAGAAATGTGTGTAAATTCTATGAACTAATACGGACCTGCTGGATACAGGAGTTTATCAATAACATGAATGACACCATTGGTTGCCATGAGATCAGATTCTCTTGATTTCAGTTCATTAACCAGAAGAGTATCATTCACCTGGTAAAGAACACATATTATCAGAGACATTAAAAAACAAACTGAATCCCTTAATATCACTTTCAGATATATGCATCCCACTCTTCAATGTCAAATTGCAGACAGAATATCTAATTGCAGACACTGAATGTCAAATCTCCGTTACAGGGTTGTGTCAGGAAGACTTTTTTCAACACTTAACTGTTTTCAAGTAGAGCTTCCCTCCTTGGATAGTTTTAAGAATGTTTGTCACACCAGGCTCAAAGCCACTTCCAATGAAAACTCCTTGTGTCAAGTGGTAAAGGAGAATGTTTCTGAGAGCATTTTTGTCTCCTATTTGAAAAGAAAAATAAGGAATACAAATTAAATATAAATAAATAAAGTAAGGCATAAAAAATAAATTGTACCAGATAGTTCTTTTTTTGGGAAATACTAATGATTCCCATAGGTTTGAGACAGAATTAAGCATACTATGAATGAAACTAACAGAAATGCATATATATTGAACCTTTTTTCTTTTTTTTTTTTCCCGTTTTCGTAATTTTAACAATCTTATGCCAAAAGGGACTCAACATAATTATAAACATGCTATGAGAACTACTATATAAAAGAGTAGCATTTTCTTATTATTTGGTATTATTTGCTTTTCTTTGCTTGCCTCTCTAATCAGAATTTTTCATTCCTTTTCTAATTATGCTCTGTAAACACAAGAATTTCAGAACCGCTAAACAGTCTGCAGCATCAAGTATCACCAAGGTACTAGACAAATTGTAACCTTAACACCCTTTCAATTAAAGGGAACTGTAGCTAACTGCTGGCAGAGAAATTAATATAACTATTCTCTTGGGCGACTCCCTTCTGAGATGAATGGGGATAATTGACAACTCTCTGTACACACATATTTTCCCATCTCAGGCAGGACAAAGTTGCAGGAAGAACAGAAGAAGGCCATCTGGGATACTGGTCTTGACTATTCTTGCAGTCAAACTGTGAGAAGAAAAGTTGAGAAAGCGGAAACAACCCTATTGTGAGTGTGTTTTCTGTATTTCAAAGTTTGGTTTAATTCCTATTTTGGAAGAAAAAGCCTCTAGAAAGGACTAGAAAAGGACTAACAAAGCACATGGATTCTGGAGTCCAAGTTAGAGGGGCAGGGAACCGTGGAGCTCTGTATCCATGGAGGTTCAGAGTCTTGGATGGAATATCCACAGACTGACCAGGAGACAAGGTACCAAGCAGAGCAGTTTTAAAACACAAGTTCTTGCCATTATGTGGAATATTGACCATTCTATTGCATGTTCTTTGTTAATATTACATGTTGACATTGATTTTTCTTTCCAGGAGTTTCAACCTTGATGAAATGGCAATGAAAATACTGTGTGGTTATAATTGTTCTCTGGTGTCTCTCAGTGAACATTTTCCTTTTTCTGCCTTTGATTGCTAATATCAGTGCAATTCACTTCACTACTAAAGTTCAGTTAAATGATCCTCTTCACCTACTAAAATTAGTGCTGAGTTTTTGTGACTGGTTTACTCATAGACAGCATTAAGTTATATACAAAGTCTAAATACAGCCATTTGAAAAAGCTGGTTTCACAATCAAATTTCCTTTGTTCTTTGTCACAATGGCCAGTGGTTATAAATAATATTTGTTTTTTTTAATCTTTATTACAGATTAATATTTTTATAAATTCTTTGGAAAAAAATACATATTTAAAAGCTTATTTTTTATAGACAAAATAATATTATGTCTTAAAAGAAAGCTAGGGTAAAATTCCAAAAAGCAAACTGATATTAAAAAAAAAAAAGAAAAAGGAGGTTAAAAATCAAAATTTCAGCTGCCATAGAAAGTAAGTAGAAACTATGTCACAATGGTAGGAAAAGCCAGTACATAAAAGCCCTTGAAAAGCTGAACATCAAATATAGTTGTATACTGGACTGTAGAAATAATCCAAAAAGACATAGGGCTAGGGTGCATCAAGTTGTGAACTGAAGACACAATAGGCCTGGTAAAATCAATTTCTTTTTTTCTTTCTCAAGAAAAGAGAGTCTTTAAGACAAAAATTGAACTATAGTGTTTACCTAGTTACTTCAATTCACAGCCCTGAGGTGAGCTTCATTTGATTTTATAGCTATCTAATGTTGGTCATTTAGGTTATCTGTTAATTTACCATTGATGACAAGAGACACAGCACACTGGAAGATAATTTATACCGCAATCATAACTTTATATGGCTAAGAGAGAATTCAAATTAACAGTGGCTCATTAGTGAGTTAAGGTCTGTGTAGTTATGCTAAGGAAGCTGATATGAGATGGACTCTTTGAAGCCATTAAGGATTCATGGGATTTGGCTCATATCTTTTAAATTTGGTCTGAACAGAGCAAAAACAAAAAAAAAGCTTTCTGGATTCAAGGTGACAGCTCTTCCCAGACCTGTGCGACAAGACAGATTCACGTTACCCTCAAATAAACTAAAAATATTTATAGTGTTGTGGCCACAGTCTAACCCTCTAGTGGGAAATCCTGCAGGAGAGATTCAAGTTATCGGTCTGCATTCCTTCTTTTACAAAAATGAAAGTGTAATGGCATACATTAAGATTTATATATATATTCAGGATCTTTTCTTTTTTTTTTTTTTTTTTTTAGCACAAGTGATGCAACAGATCACTGGGTGGCATCAGAGAAGGGAAAATACAGGAAAAGAAAGGACAGCACAGGAATGGTAATTCAATACTACATATTTTTATAATGTGATGGTTACAATAAGTATCTACATGAAGAACAGAAATTTGATGAGACTCTGCATTTTGATATATCTGAAGTAACCCTGAATGTTGTTATAGAAGTTGAAGTTAATTAAATGAATGCAGATTTTAACTTGGAAGGTAATTACACTTTGGAATAACAAATGAGGTTAAATTTAAATAATGAGGTTAAATTTAAATTAAGCTTTGATTTTAAATTTTATTTTATTTCCCCAAATGATACTTTCTCTATCACTGAAGAAGGAATTAATTTAGGGAAATACCATGACCTACTCTTTGCAGAAGGTTACCTGGTTTATCAGACATCTTTTGTTTAAGAAACACACTCGCTACCTTTCCCATTAATTTCATTCTTGTTTATACATGTAGTATTGGTATGTTACTTACTTATCAATATATCCTTATCATCATCGGTCAAACCTTTAAAGGCATCATTAGTTGGAACAAACAGAGTCCATTCTCCAGGCCGTGACAGAACATCATCTAAATCTGCAGCTTTCACCAGACTGAGGAAAACACTGTTTAAAAAATACAAACCACAAATACATTCTTGAAGTATAGCAGCTATTTTCAAGTCCAGGCACTTAGTCTCCTTATTTGTTCTGAAAGTACATCCATCTTTAAACACTCCTAAAGTTTACCAGAAATAAAGACAGTGGAGGAGATAAAATGAGAAAAAGGAAGACTGTCCTAAGAGTAGCAGACTGAGAAAAAAAGACTTGAAAAATAAAAAGCAATGGCAGCCTGGATCATAGAATAATTAATGGAATAAAAGCCCTACAGATCAAAGAGATGAAGGGAAGATGACAATGGTAGTTGGTCTCTCTGGAGGACTGACAAAGCTGCAGGTAGAGGACAGAAATACACACTGGGAATACAGTATATATACAGCCTGCAATCATGCTGCACTAATATGGAATTGTACTACTGGTTAATTAAACCTTCATACTCTGATGCATTTATAGCTCTGGATGTGTCATCCAATACCTTGTGACCCCTTGTTCCTCTCTTGCCTATTTAGCAGTAAGGAACATCATTTATTTATTTATTTATTTTCTTGAGGAGGTAATAACCTCTTTCTTGCCCTTCTTGCATCCCAAAAATCCAACATGGTCCACAACTATTTTTCAGACCAGTTGTACTTTATACCTCCCGTCCATATACTCCTACCGTATGTAGGAAAATCTCAGTGCTATCAAAATGTTAATCACCTGAAACGCTTATCATTTCTCAGCATTTCGTGCAATGTTTTTTCTGCTGGCTTGATGATCTGTCTGAAGACATGAATAAAACCATTCCTTCCTTCTTTACTTCCTCTGACCATGCATGAATTTTCAACACATACAGCCTGATTAAAAGAGAAATGAGACACCTAAGTGCATCTATTCACAGAATGATACACACTTAATCATATTTAAGGAATGAAATGTATATGTATTTCCCAACAGGCTCCTGAGTTTAAAAATAATATTTGTCTGGATTTCTGACAGTCAAATTTTATGTTTTTGCCATAAAATTTTATGTTTTTTATGTTAAGTCTGGTACGGCTTGAGAAAACAATAGTTATTAAAATCTGGAGTAAGTTAGCAGGATGCAAAGATTTCCAAACTTGATTTTCTGGTTTCCCTCTTGTTACTTAGTTCTAAAAACTAATTGTATGAATTTATAACTAATTGAGTGACAAACGCAGAATCTTGCATTGTTTTGCCAAAGAGTCTTCTATGCAAAATTCCCATAACAAAAATTGGATTTTCAAATTATTTTTTTTTCCTAACTTAAAAGCTAAAAGAATTTTCTTTGGCAGTGATAATAGTAGATGTTGAAAGTTTCATTCAACTTTGTCTGTCATTGTTTTATGCATCTTCATTTTCATAGTTAGAATACACATTGTTAAAATGTCCCATTCACTTACTGTGCGATACACAAAGACTCTGAGCAGTTTTCCTCCAATTGTCTCCAGCTCTTGTCCATTGTATAGTTCATTGAGCCCAATTTTCACTTTTATAATGTGATTCTGCAGGATTGTTTTAAGAAGGCGTTGATCCATCTGTAAGGTGTCATCTACAATGCCAATTAGATATTTATATATAGTTATTTATATAGTGAACTTCATTCAAGTAAGGTTAACTGTGGACACCTGTATTAGAAGACTGTGGAAATACTAGATATTTCATTGAAATGCTTGAATGACTTCCAATGACTTGGAAGGATCTGTGTAAACAAAAAATTAACAGTTTCTGTAAATTGTGCTTTCTCAAATATAGAAACAATCTTTTGACACACCCCTAATTATTACTAGAAATAAAATGCCAGATGATTTATATGTGTGCCTGCTCCAGCTTCTAAATTACTGCTGAAGCTTATTATTTCTGAATGTGCACCTGAAATCCTTCCCAAATTTGCTACTATGCGGGTGGTTAATACACAGATTGTTGAGGGAAGAGCAGGCTGTTCATGTGCTCATTCCTGCAGATATGCAGATGTGTTCCAATCATATTTGTATTGGTCTCTCTCTGCTTTAATGTACTAGAAAATACCAATCTCCTTGTATATTTTTTTTGGAGAATAATCAACTTGTGAATTTATGTAAGTAATGTAAAGATTAAGAGAACTGGCAATTCATTAGTATCTTTCCTTTCCCACAGCCTGCCCATGTGTATTTTGTATCTTATTTTACTGAGAATATCTCTGTCAACAAATGGTACCACTAAAAAAAATCTGTGCAATCTGATGATTGCATTTGTTTTGTCTTTCTACTCAGTGTGCATTTTGAAAGGATGAAATAATTCATTCTAATTCTCAATTACTCGTTTTCCTTGGGACTTAGAATCAGTACTGGGTCTTATTTGGAAGACTGTCAGAGTAGCATATATTCTTGTTTATTTTGATGTTCAGAGTATACTCTTTTAATGCTACTAACCTGAGAAAGCACCATTCAGAGGTGCCAGAAGAGTGTATTGGCCTTCTGGTCTTAGAGAAGATGCCAGTCCCAGCTGTGCCACCAGGTCTGTAAAAGTAGTCTGCTGAGCACCCCCAAGCTCAATGACCTGCTTGGCTGCAAATAAAGGAACAAAAAGTATTTTAACACACCTTTTATTTCTCTTCCTGATCTGGATTTTTCATGATTTCATAATCTTATCACTGGCAATACATGTGAGGCAATCCAAGTGAGTTCACAGAAAACATCTTCAGTTTAAGAAGGTTGTCATGGACATTACTAACCGGAATCAGGAATTAGCACTTTATCAATGAGGTGGATAACGCCATTGCTTGTCACAATATCCTTGCGTTTCACCATCTTTACTCCATTCACAGTCAGAGTTTCACCATCACAGCCAACTTCAAGCGTGTTTCCTTCCAAGGTTTCATAGACAGCTCCACCCATTATGGCTTCAGAGCACTGAAGAGTATTTAAAATGTGGAACTTCACAAGAGCTTCAGGGAAAAGAGCAAAAATTTCATACATAGGCGTTTGGATACATATAGTCATATAGTTCATATACAGGTGTTGTGGAACATTAAACAACTGATGTAGTTAATGAAGATAATTAGGTTCTTCAGATGATCTTGTTATTTCCCTGGCATATTCTTTCTTACTAGGTCCTCAGTAGAAGGCACTATATTACAGTACTAATGCAAGGAAGTCAACAAAAATATTGCTTTAGTAACATCAGGGTGTTAAGTACTGAAAAGTACTCATTCTAAGCAGAATTAACTTGGATAGAGGTTCATGATTTAAATATTTACTGATCAGAAGAAAGATGGATGACTGGAAGCAGGAGTGGCCTGCATTTTTGTTTAAAATGAGATAATCTCAGACTCATTTGCAGTAAAGAAACCTTCAGTTTCTGAATTGTCCATATGAAAAAGTTACTCATGAGAAAGCTACGAATGAACCCCCAAATTCAGATAGCTTTTCATTTCTAGAGGCAGGAATCTCTAATAGAACATTAGAGCTGAACATCACAGTTCAGCTAGAGACATTAGAGTGCCTGTATGTTTATAGTTTCCTTTAAAATGTTCTGGAAAGTAAATTTTCAGTTAATTTGTATCATTAGGTAACTGACAGTCAGAAGAAATAACTCCTCCTCCTGTAAAAGTACAGGTGCTGAATTTCAGGACTACAAGGATAATGTGGTTTCTACATCCTGATTTACTAACCTGTATTCTTCTTCTGCAAGAAAAGTTTACATACCTTCAGAGGCCACCTTGTCACCCATGATCCTTTCTAAGATTCCCCTTGGAAGACTCTCAAAAGCTTCATTAGTAGGAGCAAAGAGTGTGTAATGACCAGGCCTTCCAAGAATATCCAAGACATCTGATGTGATTGCAGCAGCCTAAAACATAAACATTTGTTATATATGCTGGTTATTTAAAGCATTAGCTTAGCCATGTAGACACAGGAAAAAAAATGGACAAAAAGCTCACACTTTTTATTCCCTAATTTAGAATTCTGACGTAGTCAAATCTTGCTCTTAAAGAGTAATATTGAGTTTATACTGAAAATTACAGATTTATTCATGAGAGCTCACAGGCAGCATTTAACATAAAGCTTCTCATGTGTTTTCACTTAGTATCTAGAGTTCTTTACTGTGACAATGAGATCAGTGTTATAGAAAGATGTGTTAAAAATGAAATGATGAACATGAATAAAAAAATAATTCTGTGAGAAAAGATGTACCTTGATATGATGAGTTCACTCCTTAAATTAGCACACACTAATCAATAAATTCTGATAGAACTGACAACAGGGCACAAATTATTATTTCCTAAATTTTTAAATGAAAAATGTGAACATGTAGGTTTTGACAC